GACTGGGTGGGAGTGGCTTGCCAGCCATGTGACTGGGGGGGCGTGCTTGCCAGGCATGTGATGGTGGGCATGACCAACTTGTAAAATGTGGTGAAACTCACTTAACAACGCTCTTGCTTACCAGCCAAAATATTGGCTCAGAAACTCTGGCATTTGAAGCACGCAAGTTTTAAAGCTGTTAAGTTACATGACCCTTGCACCCCTAACCCTTTAGAAAAAAAAACCCCAAGGGTGTTCAAACTTGACAGCTTTAAGACTTGTGGACTTCAACTCCCAGAATTCCTTCTCTCAGTCTTCATCTTGATGATGTGCGGACGGGCTGGGGGAGGGAGCTGGAACCGCTTCTAAATGGCACTGTAGATTTGTGGAACCTCTTCTGTAGAAGAGGTTAGAACTTGCAAGAACTTAGCCCTGGTATACACTCATGTGCACCACACCCTATACATAATCATAGGTGAACCATGTGTGTGCATGCATGCTTTGGATAATTGAACACAGTAAATTCTAGAGCTCAACTTTTAACTCATTATGGTAATCGTTTACATTAAGAAAACAATATGCAACTTTAATAAAGGACATACAATTGAAATCATGGAAAGTTGTATTGCTTGAAAGCGAAAAGCCCATTTCTATTTGGAACAGTCCCTTTTGCAAGTAGCCTCAGTTGGGTCTTGGCCTCCTTCTAAATTGCTTTGCATCTGCTGGTCCTGGACAGTGATCAATGGCCAGAAGATAAAACGTAAGACATTTGGAAGCAGAGTCGCTAACCCAAGTTAAAGGGAAGAGAGATGACATTTTGGGGAGACCAACGCTGAATTAATAAAAATGCACCGATCCAAAAGTGATGGCAGGAGTAACCAGAACTACCCAGAGGACATTCTGAAGCCCACTTGACGGAATAAGTATTCTGTAGATTCTGACATTTTTCAATGAATGAAAGGTTTGGCATCGGTAAGTCTAAGAAAGCAAATTAAAGAAAAAAATTAATTGCTGTGGCTATCAAATAAGCTAAAAGAACCCTACATTTGTCAGGGACAACCTGGGAAAGAGGAAGGGTCCCTAACTATGGAAAGTCTGTGATAGCAAACAGTTTCCAGGATGCTGATGCACTACGGCCAAGGGACTGAACAGCTCTACCTATAGGCGTGTGGTGACCTGCTCCTCCTGCCCATCGTTCCATTGGTTCCTTAACATGTCACAAGCATCTCCCCACGAGTCAAAAACATCCTCCGAGGAGTCTATGAGTTTGGAATTTGAGGAACAGATGCTGGAAGCACAGTGAAGGGAGCTGGCGCAAACCACAGGGCACTGGCTCTGTCCCGTATGCCTGATGTTCGAACTGTAGCCCACCTCATTGAGGTTAATTTCACTTTTGGAGCAGTTATCTCGCTCTTTTGTCATCTGAGAATATTTAATGTCTTGCCACATGTAATGGGGCTGGATGACCCCATCCGAAATGGTATACATGGGCTCTTGGTTGGGTTCTGCAAGATGTCCATTCATCTTGGAGAAGAGAAGACCTAGCCTCTTAAAGGACTCCTTCTTGGAGCTGGAGAGCCTTTGGACTCTGTTGCCATTGCGGACGAAGGAGCGCTTACTAATCCCGTTGCTTTTTGGTTTTTCGTTCCTTGTCTCCATGCCAGACATGGTCTTAATCAGAGCCGACACATTGAAGTCTTTCTTTTTGTTGGCCACCCCAAAGGGGACAACCTTGGCCTTGGAGGTTTCTCCCATGCATTCCTCAGAAGCATCTTCTTTTTGGGACACCTCCGTGCTACTGGTGGAGTAACTTCTTCTTTGGGGCTTCCGGTTACCCAGCAGGTCAAGGACTTCATAGCGGAAACTGGAAATGTCTTGTTTTAACTCCTAAGGGGAGAGAAGTGACAAGAGATGATTGACACTTTAATGCACATTGGCTTTGAACACTTTCCTTGGGGGACGACTAATGCATCACAAGAATTGCAAATCTTTCATTATTTAGCATGGTGGGATAATTCTATTGAACAGAGCTCAGTGAAACGGCACATAATGATATGGAGCTAAACCTTTCAACAAGAACTTGACACTAAAATGTGGAGCCTAGGGAACAGAAAGTGCCTTAAGCTTTCCCTCTCCTACAACCAGGCACATAATAGCAACTAAATGTTTGCTCAGAAATAGAAAATAAATATTCCAAAGTTTTCACTCATTCTCATTTCATTGCCTCTGCGTTTAGAAAAGCAAAATGGGAATGAGATCATGTTGCACCAATCTTGAGAATAGAATAGAAATAGGAATAGGAATAGGAATAGGAATAGAATAGGAATAGGAATAGGAATAGGAATAGAATAGGATAGGATAGGATAGGATAGGATAGGATAGAAATGAATAGAATAGAAATGAAAAGAACTGAATAGAATAGAAATAGAAATGAAAAGAATGGAATAGAAATGAAAAGAATAGAATAGAAATGAATAGAANCATAAAATTATATATCAATGGAAAAGATAATTTAATCAAGAATGTAATGCAGTAACTTTTATGAAGGATTTGTTATTAGAATAGCAGTTATAAAGAAGAGAAGTGAAACACGTAGAAAAAATGAGATATAGAAAAATTATCACCATGTCAGTTAATACTTAGCTGAGTAACCTTTAGCATGAATTATGGACTTGCAATGTCTTCCCATGGAGTGAACCAAGTTTTTTAGTTCTGCAGTTGTTATAATGTGTAATCAAGATTGAATGATTGCTTCTATTATATGGGTTTTATTGCTGGCTATATTTGGCTATAACTTTTCATATAATACAGATAATTGAACAAACTTTTTGCATTCAATTCTTGATTAAATTATATTTCCACTGATATATAACTTTATGGTACTACTCTGAAAAAAAGGGGTGTTACTAGCCATCAAACCTCAAAAATACACTTGTCCCAAAAGGTTTCCACAATTTTGGCTACTACTCTATATACTGAAACACTGAATGCACCAGGAGTTCTTTGGGTTGGCACCATTGCTGCTGAGCTTTTAATTTTCTTAAGTCCTGTAAAATACACATCTCTCAAACAGCTGAGTTGCTATTTTGTTGATGTTGTTTCAAATAAAGCCAGTTAATGCTGCTGAGACATTGGATCTTAATATTATAATTAATAGGTTTGTCTTATAGCATCCAGGATGCTGAAATGAATACCAAAGGAATTAGCCGTAATCCAACACCATGAAAAGGATAAGAATTTTCAGACTCTATTGCCAATAGTCCTAGAAAGAATTTGAGGTGAGATCCATCAATTATTTCCTGTCTGGAATGCAGGGGTGTGTAAAATTCAAAGAGATCGCAATAGAAATAGCATTTAGACTTATATGCCGCTTCACAGTGCTTTACAGCCACTTCTAAGCAATTGACCGAGGGATCACCTTGCTCCCAACAATCTGGGTCCTCATTTTACCGACCTAGAAAGGATGGAAGGCTGAGTCAACCTTGAGCCAGTCAGGATCGAACTCCTGACAGTTGGCAGAATTAGCCTGCAAATACTGCAGTCCAACCACTGCATCACCTTGGCTCATTTTAAGTGCTTTTATTGCATACTTGCTCAAGACTATTTAGTTCATAGAAAAATCCCTGGGACAGTTTTATAGGTGAATTGGAGAACGTGACTAGTACAAGGTGAAAAGAGGGTGATGTGAAGATGGGGCATGTGTGTAGTGTGTATGTGTGTATACACCAGTGGTGGGTTTCAAAAAATTTTTGAACCTCTTCTGTAGGTGTGGCCTGCTTTGTGGGAATGGCTTGCCGGCCATGTGACTGGGTGGGAGTGGCTTGCCAGCCATGTGACTGGGTGAGCGTGCTTGCCAGGCATGTGATGGTGGGCATGACCAACTTGTAAAATGTGGTGAAACTCACTTAACAACGCTCTTGCTTACCAGCCAAAATATTGGCTCAGAAACTCTGGC